AAATGACTGGAAGCCACAAGGTTCGTGAAAATGTAGAAAGAAAAACTCTGGGTCTACTGTTGGTCAGACTGTATGTAAATTGGTGCAAACACTATAGAAAATTGTATGAAGAGTTCTTTGAAGATAAAAACGAAAATTCTTTATGATCCAGTAGCATTTTCCAAAAGCACATGAAAACATTAATTTCATAGAATGGTTGTGCTTATATATCCATATGAGCATCAAAGACGATGAAATACTGAAACAATGAGCCACACCTTTTAGGAGAAATGGATGGAATTTGAAGTGACTATGCTAAGTAAAATAAGGAAGTCAACAACAATTTCAAATGATTTCAACTCATGTGAAATAGAAATAAAATGCCAAAATTCCTTCTTTTGTGAATTTGCTCTCCTCACCCCCCTGCCACTTTGTTACCATCTTAACTCTTGTCAGCTTCCTTCTGCCCAAAAAAAACTCTCTTAACTTCTTTTCATGTCCTGCTGACTATAAATTTCAATCTAGTTTATTTGAAATGATTTTGATTTTACTGTTTTGTAGGATGCTTTATTGGATATAAATGTCTGCAGTTATTGGTAGTTTATTTTCTGTGACATTTTAAAAAGTGATTCTACTGCTACAGCTATGATTGGGAGGAGAGCAAAAAGAATGAGTAGAAATGTCTTTCCACTGATTGTGTGGCACTGGAACATTGGTGGCAGGTATGGTATCAAACTCATAGAGAGGTATCAAGTTGTTTCTCTGAAATTCTACAGTCTGATAAATAGAACAAAGAATGGTACTGTTTTCCTTACAGGTTTGGAAGAACTCATCACAGAGACCTCCTGAAACTGGTGTTCTGTTTTTCTCCTTGTTTGGCCCAGGGGAATCTGAGATGATTCTCTTCCATCCTGGTTGGTGGTTCAATGCCAGCCAGGGCCAGAGAACACTGTGCTGCGTGTGCCCTGCAGTGCCAAGGGTCACCTAAGGCATTCCAGCCTCCAGGGTTGTACCCAGTGATGCTTAGAGGAACATGTGGTGCTGGGAATCAAGTCAAAATTAACGGGAAATCCCTTGTTTAGTTTTCAACAGAAAAAAAAAGCAGTCAGTCAAAAACGACAATGGTTTCCTCAAAATGCCAATGATTTCAAATAAACTGTAACTTGTAGCCAGCAGAATGACAATAAAGCAGCATTAAACGGAGTTCCTTATTTATTTTTATTTTTTATTTTGGACACTATGGTTTACAATCTGTTATTAATAAAATTTCATACATGAATTATTCCAGTATCATACCCTCCAACCAGGTGTCTACTTCCCTCTATTGTCCCAGTGTCAGTCACCCCATCCCCTCTACCCTGTAGTAAGCTTTCTACTGAAGACCCAAGTTCTCAGTCTCTGTTGCCTTTGGGTATTTGTTATTCCCCTAGTTTCTTCATATCTTGCAAATGAGAAAGATGATCCTGTGCTGTCCCTCTCCTTCTGAATAACTTCACTCAGCATTAATACTCTCCAGCAACATCCTCGTAGCAGCAAATTTCATCTTCTTCTTACAGCTGAGTAGTATTTCATTGTGTACCATAGTATCATAGTTTCTTTATTCAATCATGATAAAGATTTTGATCCTTCATGATCCTAAAGATCCAATCATGTTTCCAGATTTTGGCTACAGTGAATAGTGCTGCAATGAGCATAGGGTACAAATGTCTTTCCAGAGTTGTGCTTTCGGATCCCTGGAGTAGATGCCCAGAAGTGGAATTGCTAGGTCATATGGAAGGCTCAATTCCTAGTTTTTTGAGAAGTGTCCATATTGTATCCAAAGAAAGTTGGACCAGACAACATTACCACCAGCAGTGAATGAGGGGCACTTAAAGGGAGTTCTTTAGAGAGAAGGTAAATGACTTAAGATGGGAACGTGAAATTAAGAGGAGGGCATTGGATAGACATTACTAAAAAATAAAATGAGGATTTTTATATCTGTAGAATTTGAACGGGCTGGAGTGATAGCACAGCAGGTAGGGCATTGCCTTGCACACGGCTGACCAGGATTCATTCCTTCGTCCCTCTCAGAGAGCCTGGCAAGCTACTGAGAGTATCCTACCCGCATGGCAGAGCCTGGCAAGCTCCCCATGGTATATTCGATATGCCAAAAAACAGCAACAACAAATCTCACAATAGAGACATTACTGGTGCCCGCTCGAGCAAATCGATGAACAACCGGAGAACAGTGCTACAGTAGAATTTGAACATATGATACTAGATATGCAAAAGCAGGTTTTAGTCCCAAATTATTAATAAATAAATAAATAATTTGGCATACATGTATGTTGAAATACCTAGGGTAACCAACAGCAAGAATTTAAACAATTTGCTCGAGCGGGCCCAGTAACGTCTCCATTGGAGACTTTGTTGTTACTGTGTCTGGCATATCGAATACTCTCGGTAGCTTGCCAGGCTCTCCGCGAGGGGCGGAGGAATCGAACTCGGGTCGGCCATGTTGGCCGCTAGTAAGGCAAACGCCCTACCGCTGTGCTATCGCTCCAGCCCTTTACCTTTACCTTTAAACAATTACTAACCATAAAAAAATAAGAAACATGTAAGTGTAACTACTGATCCAAACAACAACATTATCTACAGAAAATTCTAGATTTTTGTTTTTGTTTTTGTTTTTTGGGTCACACCCAGCAGTGCTCAGCACTGACTCACAGCTCTGTGATCACTCATAGTGGTAGGACTCAGATCACCAGGAGTGCTTGTGATCAAACCCAGGTCAGTCACGTGTAAGGAAAGCACCCTACTCACTACTTCTTCAATCTCTACATTTTTATTCTTAAAAAAAGTAAAACTCATGTTCTACTCACAGGTAAATACTTTAATTATGTAGGTAAAAAACAAAGATTTAAAAGAAAATACACATATGAACTTACTAAAAGGATTGCATAGTACAATGGTATAGCAGGTCTGGAGTAATAGAACAGCAGGTATGGCACTTGCCTTGCATGCAGCCAAACCGGGTTTATATTCCTGGCACCCAATATAATCCCCAGAGCCCAGTAGGTGTGATCCCTAGGTGCAGAGTCAGGAGTAAGCTCTGAGCACCAATGGGTCTGGACCCCATTAAAAAAACTGCATTATAACTATACTATTATCAATATTGTTATAAAATATTACTAAAGAAAAATATAACAGAACCAGAGAAAAACAGAAACATAGAAACGATTTATAGTCATGAAAATTAAACTTTTTGAAAACTTATTACCTACCACTACAGAAAAAACATCATGCCAATAGAGCATATAATCGTGAAAGTAAAGAAAGAAATAGAAGAGTCTTTAGGAGGAGAAAACGTAGTAGAAACTCAAGGTAGACAAAAATTCTAAAAATACTGTAGCACTGTACTCCCATTCATCGATTTGCTCGAGCGGGACCAGTAATGTGTCCAGTTGTGAGACTTGTTGTTACCGTGTTCGGCATATCGAATATGTCACAGGTAGCTTGCCAGGCTTTGCTGTGCGGGCAAGATACTCCTGCTAGCTTGCTGGGCTCTTCCAGAGGGGTAGAGGAACCGAACCCGGGTCGCCCCAGTTGGCCATGTGCAAGGCAAATGCCTTACCTGCTTGGGTTATTTAAGTTGTTTGAGCAAAAATTTAAAAACTTGGGACCAGAAAGATAGTAAATAGGTAATATTCTTGCCTTTTATGTGGCCAACTAGTGTTAATACGCAGCTCCAAATATGGTCCCCTAAGCAAAACCACTCCACCCCACGAAATGAAGGGCTGAAAAGGCAAGACACAGATCAGGAAAGAGGTGGGGTAGAAACTGCAAAACACAGCTATCAAAGGCTCATATCAAAACATGTACTTGGAACTCTTAACAACAACCAAAAGGTGAAAGAAGATATTCCAGTACAAATATGGTTAAATAACTTGAAGAAGCATAAAGAATATATGTGTGTAGGAAGCTGGTCAACAGATACAAAATTCCAGTTATAAGGACAGGGAATGCAACATACATGAGTATTGTTAGCATGCTGTATGGTATATAGGAAAGCTACTTAGAGTAAATCCTAAGAGTTTACAATTATAAGAAGAATTACCCAGTTGTACACCTTGAATTTACAAAGTGATACATGTCAGTTCTATGCCAAAAATTAAAAACCTGAAGATATACAAGGACAATAAACATATTCACTAGTCATCAGAAACAGCCTATATTAATACAATTGTTAAACAATTATTCAAACAATTTTTAAAACAACTTTTTACTTAACAATAAACATTAGACAAACAACTATGAACAGACCTCTGTGGGGAATCCTTGGTCCATTGCCCATCTCCTCTAGAGGGAAGGTCTCAGGAGCCCCCTCTTAGTGGTCTGTGCCCTCCCTTTTACTATCAACTGAATCTAGGCTACTGATCTTGCAACGTGGACTCACCAGTGAAATCATACTCTAATCATACTACAATTGGCTGGAGTCATAAAGTGAAATCTTCCACTTAACCCTGAAAGCTAGCACTGTTGATATGAGCCTAGTAGACTAAAGTAGACAGAAGTGCTGCAAAAGTCCATCAAAGAGAAATAAATAAACCTCCTTCAAAATACAAATTTCTCACCATCCTTCATTCCACCATTCAGAACCAAATCTATTTGCAAAAAATGGAATTTCTGTGTACTAAAATTTTTTTCCAAATTTTGAAGACTTTGAGATAATTATCACTAGGTCACTATTCTCTGAGATAATTATAATTAAAATTGTTTTCCGTTCAGATGCTGTGTCAAATATTTTTGCATGACTACGGTCAACCAGGATGTTAGACGTGCTGCCCTTTAGTTAAACACATGAATTTCCATCATATGGCAACTGTATCACTCTCTTCCCATCCGAATGACTGACCATTGCAAGCTTTAAGCATCTTTAGTGGCTTTCTTGCATGATCTATAAAGTCTTCAACAGAAATTTTTTATAAATTAACATATAAATATCTTGGATGCGCCCGATATAATTTCAAGACATTTTTTACCCGGTCATGAATCTCTTCACAGTTTGGAGGTGAACACCAATCAGAATGGAATCTGTGGGCATACAAAAACAAAGATGACTTATAGTCAGAGGAGTAAAAAATAAATCTTTTCACACAGCACATAAAGATAGTAAGCTTTCCTTATCTCTAGATGATAACACAAAGATTAAAAGACATTTTCTTCCTTTCTGAATAAAGAAAAATTATATAAATCAAAACTAAGTGTTTACAATATATATCATTTAAAATTCAGTCATGTTTATTCCTTAGAGTTAAGGCAAACAGAAAGTGGCTCAGTGGGCTGGAGCACATGCTGTGCACGCGAGAGACCCAGGTTCAATTCCTGGCACCACACCTGCTCTCCTGAGTAATGCCGGAGAACTCCTGAACAACAAGCCAGGAGCAGCCCTGAGCACTGCTATACATGGCCCCAAGGGAAAATAACAAAAACAATAGAACAAAGAAAAAAAACTGAATGATTCTCTCTTGGAACAGATAATAATACTTCTCTAGAATCTGCTATGTAAATACAACTTTAAAAATAAATATCGAAAAACAGGAAAGAAAAACAGATTTTTATTAGATTATCAAAATTAAAAAAACAAAGCAACCTTTTATTTTCTTTCTTTGGACATTCTCAAATTCAAATGAGTGCAATTAAACTGTTTTGCTTCTTACAAGTAACATAAACATTTTCTAAATCCATTTGGCTACAATATATCTCTATGAAGTTGCTGATAATTCCGTTATAAAGAAATGCATACTAAATGCTAACAGGTTACTTAAATCTTTGTCTAGGTTTCTCTCAATTTATAAGCACAAAGTGACAATTTTATGGGTGCACATACAATAAAAACATTAAGTAGAACAAGTGATTTACATAATCTGCTTAAAAGAATGTAATAAATAATAGCTCCGCTATATCTAAATGCTCATCTTTGGCATTTGTCAAAGGATTTGCTATTGCACCTATGCAAATATACTGCAGACTCTATTTGCTACATCTTGAAAATCGGATAGCCGAACAAGTGGCTTCTCTAGGAGGTGTCCCGAAGGTACCACTAAAGGGGCCACTAGTCTGTGCTGTAGCGTAAGAAATGATCGCTTAGCACTCTCACTCCATTTACAAAATAAAAAGCTTATGTATGATTAAAAAGAATACCAGATCCCTTTTAATTAGATTTGCTAGTCTTATTTTAATAATAACTCTAGAGCCTACTAAAAATTATATTTCATGATATTAATATTTATACTGTGAGGAGAAAACTGCTTACGATTGTGATCTTAGTACCTGTTAGTGCTGAAAAAAATATGAGCAGAAAGAATAAGAAGCCAGTTTTATTCATTTTTGGTTCCATTTTTGTTTTGGGGTCACACCTGGCAGTGATGAGGGATTATTCCTGGCTCTGCACTCAGGGATCACTCCTAAAGGGGTTCAGGGCACCCTATGGGCTGGCAAGGATCAGAACCTAGTTAGTCACATGCAAGCCAAGTGCCCTACTCAATCAATGTATTATCTCTACAGTGCACACAGTCAATTTTAATGCAGATTCACATGATTCTCTTTAAACTGTACTACAATGTTAAAATGGCTTATACTTGTAGGTTTTGTAAACTGGCACATATGAAATCTTTGAGAACACATAGGTTAAAAATATGTTTTAAACTGCCTCCTGTCAAATCTGATAGTGAAGTTTGTATTGTTTTGGTTACAGAAGTTTCCATTATATTTATATTCTTATTAACACTATTTTTGACCAAAGATTGACCACTCTCCCACTTGGAATTACATGGACAGGATGTCATAATCTTTAAAATTAACCAGACAATGGCGTAAGAAGTGAACACTTAAAATGCAATAAATTTTCAAGCATATCGTGCCTTGTTATATATGACTTTACTGTGTAGATGTACTTGACGGTACTAAGTTTTGTTAGCAGTGCTATTTTAAAGAGATTTAAGGGTCCTGTATATTTTTTTAAATTTCACAAATTCGTCCAATAATTCTATGTTTATCCCTCTCCTTCTGACTCATTTCACTCAGAATGATACTTTCCATGTCCATACATTTATAAGCGAATTTCATAACTTCATGTTTCCTAACCGCTGCATAGTATTCCATTGTATAGCACCACATTTTCTTTAACCACTCATCGGTTCTCAGGTTCTTGGCTTGTTTACAAATCCTTGCTATTGTGAATAATGCTTCAGTAAACAGAGAAGTGGAAATGGCTTTTCTGCAGTGTGTTTTCAGGCCAAGAGGATTGGTCCACAGTTAAGACTCAGGTGCTGGGAAAGAAGGCAGTTGGGATAGAGAAAAACCCACTATGATATGGATAGCTGTAAATGATCACTCTACATTAGAACTGCGTGCCGAAAGTAGGTGAGGGAGCAAGCATGGTAACCTCTCAGTATCCGTGTGACAAATCACAATGACCAAAAAGTAAGTGTGTGTGTGTGTGTGTGTGTATGTGAAGAGGGGTAGTGAAAGAGAGATAAAGTGCCTGCCAGAGAGACAGCAGGCTGGGGGAAGGGTGGCAAACTGGGGACATTGATGGTAGGAAATATCCACTGGGGGAGGTATGAGCTGGAACACTGTATGACTGAAACCTGACTATGAACAGCTTTGTAACTGTATCTCATGATTCAATTAAAATAAAAAGGAACGTAAATTTTGCCCATAGCTTTTTACAAAGTATGACAGCTCAGCGGGTAGGGCGTTTGCCTTGCACACAGCCTATGTGGCCAACCCGAATTCAATTCCTCTACCTCTCTCGGAGAGACCGGCAAGCTACCAAGAGTATCTCGCCTGCACAGCAAAACCTGGCAAGCTACCTGTGATGTACTTGATATGCCAAACACAGTAACAAGAAGTCTCACGATGGAGACGTTACTGGGCCTGCTCGAGCAAATTAATGAACAATGGGAGGACAGTGCAGTGCTACAGTGGTAAAAAATTTCCTTAAGTTTTCAACATTGGCTTGACTGTTGAGTGCAGCCTAGAACTAAATTCCACATTTTTGAAAGGACCAAAATCTAATATTTGAGAATAAAGCCATTTGCACATGATAGACTTTGTGATACTTTTTGCTGCAGTTTGATGCAATAGTTACTGAAAATTTTGGCAATACCTGTAAGCCTAAAATTCATTCTTCAAACATTTTAAGAACTTCACCAAAAGACATTACAAAAACTCTGACACTTAAATGTTTGAATGTCACTATATCTGAAATATATTTGGGGTAAAATGAGATTTTAAAGTTAAGTACTTTTAAACTTTAATCAAATTAAGCAAATCAAGCATTGGTAGTATACCCTGCTGCAACATTCTCACAAAACTTTAGACAAAATTGGCAACTTGAAATTAAAACATGCCACTGTTTTGATATGCTTGTCTTAAAATCATAAGAAAACAATTATAAACACTGATTTGACATATCCCCATTTTTAAAGGTTCTCTTGAGTTTTCTTATTTTTTTCTTTATTTCTCAGTGACAGACCTTATGTGTTACCTTATGTATTACCATTATCAGTGACTTAGGATAATTTAGTTAACCTGCAATGTTTTCAGTAATTAAGAATGAATTTAAACTTGCTGAATGTAAAAACTGAACCTTGAGTCATTGCAAACTTAAAATTTATTTACTGTGTTAGTTTTAGATGCCAGCACTGCATGCACTAGGTTTTATTCTAATTCACTGGAGTAAAATATTGAGCACACACACAAAATGGTGCATTTATAATCAAAATTGAAAGTATTTTATAGTGTGCTAATGCTATTGGAAGTGCTTTTTTAAATGGGCTTACAGCAAAGAGCCCCTTTTGCTATAAATGAAATTCATTTGTGCTTAGTTACTAATGAAGTCTTTAAAAGTCTATTTACTAATATATATGATTAAGGAGTCAGCACTTATATCTGAGAGGAAAACTAAATTTTAATGATTATATCCCCAGATAAATTCCTATAGTGTATGTTTTGTCATACTTCCCATTTTTTTTCTGGAAAAACTATTTGCATTTACATGAGTTTAAATTGTCTATTGATTCCAACAAATTATAAAAACATCCTATAAGTATACTGCTCAGTGATCTCAACAACTAGCTCACTGAATGTCTTATGCTTAAAAATTTGGTACTGATGAAGGGAACACCAAATAAAGGGTGCTGGGAGAATCCTCCCAGGATTGGAGAAGCATGCTAAAAGTAGACTATAGACTGAACATGATTGCCACTCAATGCCTCTTTTGCAGGTCACAGCACCCAAAAGGAGAGAGAGAACAAAAGGGAATGCCCTGCCATAGAGGCAGGGTGGGATGAAGGGGATGGGGGGTGGGAGGGAGACTGGGACCTGTGGTGGTGGAAAATGGGCACTGGTGGAGGGATGGCTACTTGATCATTGTATAACTGAAACCCAAGCACCAAAATTTGTAAGTCTACAACTGTACCTCATGGTGTTTCACTAATAAAAATTTTAAAAAAACTTTGGTACTCGGTATGAAAAATGCTTCTATTCCTAGCGATATGTCCTACATATGTTTTATTTTCCTTCAGAGACTTATAATTTTTTTAAAAAAACTACCTAAACCCTTGAATAATTATTAAAATAGGTAAATGTTTTATATATATTATCACTCATTTCATTATAGCAAAGAACTTATCCACAATCATCTATTCAATATCACTGTAAATGTGTAAATGTCACTATGTCACCTAGTCTGAAACACGAAAAACGAATAGCCTGAATGGTTTTTATATTCAAGAGTTTTAAATATAACCTCAATAAATAAGTTATCAACCTAGAAAGAAAAGGCTTCAAGAGCTAATATGAAATTCTGCATAAGGACTAAATAACACAACTGGGTAGTACTGGATGAAAATTGGAGAGAATTCTCCAAATTTTCTGAAAAGGCAGAAAAAATAAAACTTTATTTAAAAACATATCTAAGGGGATACAGGTAAAAAAAATCTTGGTAACTAGAAGATTAAGGTCCATAATAATCAATGAAATAAAAATGTGCTCACTATTAAAAAGTAGAGAGTAGGTGCAACTATATATCTGAACATGTGAGTAAGCATGGAAATCAAAATATGTCCCCAAACATTAAGACACAATTTATCAGATTCATATATAAACCTTTTCAAGGGTTCATCTTGAACTACTTAAGTTTTCTTGTATATATATATACTTTATACATATGTATATATACTCACACACATAAAAAACATATATATATATATATATAGAGAGAGAGAGAGAGAGAGAAAGAGAGAGAGAGAGAGAGAGAGAGAGAGAGAGAGAGCGCCAGGGACGTAGTTAGGGTTCAGGGGAATATGTGGACCCAAATTGCCTTATTCCTTTTTCTAACAATCATTAGTCAAAAAATTAGTGTAGAAATACAGACTACACATTACCTTTCCCTGAGAGAAGCTCGATTTAACACAGGACTTGTAGAAAGATGCTTTGGTACTGTTGAAGGTGCTGAGTGAACTAGTAAAGTCCTAGCTGCATGCTCAGGCTTGCCACATGACCTTGTCAAATAGTCGTCACATCTTTCCAGAGAGTCATCAAATTCTCTCCCATGGGGTGTTCTAATAACCTGAGATTAGACATATAAATCATACACATAGTTACACATAATTTATTAGAAATACCAAGTATAATAACAGTTATTGTGCCATCATTTGAAGATAAATTTCAGAATGCAGTAGTCATAATAATCACTATCATATTTTAACACTAAATATACCTGGATTGTTCGCTACAGATGACTAATATTTACAAATGTTATAAATTCTAAGGGCTTTTGTGTAGGGGTGGAGTGTAAAAATAGAGGTGTATATGTAAAATAAAGGACAAATAAGCAATGTAATTTAGTAATAATGCCAAACATTAAAATTATTGATTGCTTTCTTTGTATAAACAAATCAGAAAAATTAATTCCTGCTCCTGTAAACCATATGTTAAACTGAAATTTATACCCTAGGAAGGAGATTCACACACACTTGCAAGCATGTGTAAATGTTTACATAGAAAAATATGTAAAATAAACAATGCCAGAGAATGGTAAATACCATGAGAAGAAAATTCAAAAGGAAACGAGCTAAGAACTGCTTATGAGCTTAGAATGAGAGGGGTATATCAAGAAGGAGCTGCAGTTCAAACTAGGATGGATATTCAATAGAAACTAAAAAAAAAAGAGAAGAGAACATCTTGAATTTTTTTTAAAAAATAAAAAAGAAGTAAGGACTGACCATCTTAGTGAAGACCACAGTACCTTATGGAGGATATTATTTGGAGTCTGGGAAGATGCAAAGAAAAAAATTAGACTGAGGAACATCCAAGGAGAATGTGTTGTTCTGAAAGACAACTAATGAATATATTTCAAGGAAGAGGAATCATTGGGTCAAATATTCCTGACAGGGAGAAATGAAAATGAACATTTGAACTTCAGCAATAGGAAAGTCATCAGTAATATAGAGTAGCAGCTTAGATCATTAGATTCAGTCACCTGTCCATACAACGGTGTCAGCACACAGGTACAGAAAGGTTGAAAACTACCATTCTACAGCCCACCCTTGTTGCTGGTCCATGGACCAACATGCAGGACAAGTGACAGTCACAGGTATAAAAAAGTTAAAGAATGCTGGCTTAAATGAAGTCATCTGAGTAATAATCTGGAGTCAATTTCAAGATAAAATGGGGAGAAAATTGCATTTAGAAAAATATTTAAGTAAAAATTTAACTTCCAGTCACTGATTTATTCGTAGAGGATGTGGGCTACCAAGCACTGGGTCATCCGTTCAATGTAAAAGTCCCAAGATGTCCTGTAAATTAAGCCTGTGGTGCCAGGTAACATGATAATAGGATAACCTGAAAGCTCAGGGGGCATGCCTGGTAGTCCTCTCAGGTTGCATGCAGCAGGATCAGCAGCATGTAAGGCCTGTGCAGTAACCCCTATACACTCTCTCCTGTCCCAGAGCTGGGACTAAAATATTGAATATCATCAAGTTCTTGTTACGTTCTTGCGATACTATTTGACTGAGAAAGCTATCCAATCTTTCTCAGACTTCTCATATTTAAAATAAGGTCAACAGTATTTTTCAGTTTAAATTATCTTGAAGAATGTATAGCTGTATAAATTACACAATAAATAATGCGTTTATTGTTAAGACACCAACCCAACACAGCATTTTGCTTCAACACTGTCACAATTTTTCACTGTTTTCCAAAATTACTGCAATGTTAGTGAGTCAGCAGCTGGCTAAGAATCAAGCCTTCATGGCAGAACCAAAAAACACAAAATTCAAATGACTCAGTTACAGTCCCAAAAGACTAAGAAATAATGTGATCTAGATGGAATAAAAGAACTGAAAATTATTTCATTGTTAGCTATTCATTAAGACACAAAGTAAAACTCAGAGTCAAAAACCAGTTTAAAGAGGTTCATGGTCATCATATTTGAGTTTATCTAGTATACTTAATAAAGGGAAAGAAAAAAAGGTATTGTAATGCTATTTCTAGAATTTTATCCAAATAAGAGCCACGTGGCTTGTGGAAGAGATCCTTTGCTATTCACTAATTTCAATGATGATTACGTTATGTTGGCTAGCATTTGTCTATCACCAGTGTGAACAGAGTCAGGCCATAAATAGAAAAAAGAGAAAGAGAATTCAAAACGGGGGGGCGGGGGAAAGTGTGAGGAAAAATAACCAATGACTACAGTTATTTAACTAGCACAACAGGAAAATATAGGAGAATATCTAAAAGTTACTGTAAAAAATCTTAAATGTTGTAACTCACTATTTATTAGCCATCTTCTTTGTATAAAGTACTGAACAAAGTTAAGAGACAGCAATGGCAGATATATAAGATAAACAAGACACCTCAAAGAAGCCCAGATTGGGAGACATTAAAAAAAAAACACTGAGGGGTCACAGAGATAGCACAGCACGTAGGGCAAATGCCTTGCACAGGGCCTACTCTGGTTCAATACCTGGCACCTCAAATGGTTCCCACCCAAACCAAAAAATAGTAAATAACTGTAATGCAAACAGAGTCAGGATATAATCATCCAATTGAGTTAGAGTACAGATTTGTTACAGAAAGTTTTACTTAATGTGGGAAAATAGGAGGCAAGTCTTTGCCTATTACCTACTTCAAACTTCAAACTTAGTCATAGCTCTTATAAGTTTACCATAAGGCAATTGTGGTAAACTTGAAATTCATTTAAAAAAAAAAGAAACAGAATAGTATATTTCTAAATTGTTACAAGAGTAGTATTTTTGGTTGATTTCTGAAGAACAAAGGCTTAAGGTTCAAAAATGTGGGTTCAAATCCCTATTAGTTATGTGACACTAAGCGAATCTTTAAGTTTTAATTTCCTTATCTATAAACTTGGGAAATAATGTTACGGGTTAGCCAAAAAAAAAAAGTTAGTGAAAATAAAAAGCAGGAAGCTTGACTTAAAACAAACAGCAACATTTCCTTTGTTTCCATCTGTCACAACAACAAAAAAAAACTTTTTTTACATTTATGGAAATTGGTTCCTTAAAATGCCTTTTCTACGATCTCAGAACTGTAAAAATTCTAATATTACAACTATAGAGATCAAAAAGATTTTAAAAACATACTTTAAATCTATCTTGAATCTTTTATTAAAAATTAACTTTCACACACTCAATTCATTAAAATTACACAAGTAAAATATAATTATGTAAACCATTTACTTTTTTTACCTTTTAAATCTGGGATATATGATGGCGTGATTATAGTATACTTATGAAATAAAATACGTGAAAGTTTCTTATAAAATAAATTGACAAAATAAATATTAAATCATTGTTATATTTATAGGAACATTCCAAGGTAAAAATAATGAAAGAAAAAAAATAAGTTCAATGAGAACTGAGAAATTTTTGTTCAACTAATATATATTGAATGATTACTTAATACCTGATATTTATGCTGTATTCTAATTTTTCTTGTCATAGAGCATAGAACTGAAGAAATAAAGACAATTTTAAAATGCTTAACTGAGTAGCAGTTCAGAACAAAGACAGAAATATAGGAAATAAGAATAGCATAACTTTCAGCATGATAAGAAGTTCAGAGTCTGGTTCTAATTCAAAAGGGACAGAAACAGATGTTGATAACTGAAATCAGTTTCCTAAGTCCTCTGAAGATAAAGCTTAGAGTTCATAGGGCATAAGGGGTACCATCCATCTAAATCTGATGGAATGGCTTATTCTGTCTTCCACATTTTCTCAACTTCAAGTTCGATTTCTCCAGTGGCTCTATGAACCTTTCATTGGTCTTTCCTGAAGAGGACATGAAGGCTTTCTGTGTGAATGAGTCAGAATGCCAGATAGTGAACACTGAAATTTGTGCCCCTTTCTCTACAGTAATTAATTAATGGAAAATAACTGCCTAATGAGAATCTCCATTTCTTACTACCCTCAGTCCTTCTTTCGTCTATGTTTATAGATATGGCCATGTACCTAGTTCGTGTAAATGTGACACGATTTAGGTCACTTGCAAGACTTGTAAGAAGCAAGTGTGCCTTGACAGATATCCTGGACTGTTAGTGAGAAATATGCCTCTAAGACATTAAAGTTAAACTAGGATTTGTAAGAACACTGACCAATTCCCTAATGAAACAGGTTAGTAAAAATCAGAAGAAACAAACATTACTCAAACAAGGTACTGATGATTCAATAGGAAAATTCAAGAGACGTAGAAAGAGTAATTACAGAAAATACAGAAATCTAAGGAGAATTCTGAACTTGATTATTCAACCATGCATTCAAATAGAAATTATCCACCATATACCATATACCTTGATTGCCAGGGAGGAAGAAGGATAGAATGAACATGTATTTGACTCTTGTTTTCATGAGTCTAGGAAGACACATGAAGTCTATATTCCAGTAAGTCAAAAGCAATAGAATATAACGAAATAATGGATATGTGAGGATGTTAGAGTGATGTAAGACTACCAGAAATGAAACACAGATGGCAAAATAAAAGGAAAAAGAAAGTTAAAAGAAAGCCTGAAGTAAAGACAACTGTACCGTTTCATCTGATCAGTAATTGGCAGTTTTTGACAAAGCACATATAAGATATATACAGAATACAAGGCGAATTAGAAAGTTTTTAAGTTGTATTGCAGAATCTACAAGAGAACAGAAGTATCAAGGAGTGCTGGCATCAAGCTGAAGCTAGCAAAGATGTACCTGGTAAAGAAGCAGGTAAGAGTTCATTCTATGATTCACTGTTTTGTTTTGGGGTATTAACAATGAAACACTAGCAGTGCTCAAAATGTACTCCTGGCTAGGCACTCAGAGACCATTTCTGCTCAAGTAAGACTACCTGGGATTGAGCCTGGGGTCAGCTGCATGCAAAGCAAGCATCTTACCACTCTACTATCTCCAAAGCCCCTTTGTTCCAAAATTCTTTCCAAAAGCAACCTATAACTAATAGCTACAAGTCTGTTACCTCATTCACCTAGTGTTATATAAAGTATCATTAATTTTTTCTTTTAGTCCTTGGACTAGATCCAGTGTTATATCAGGACTTACTCCTGGTTTTATGCTCATG